TCTACACTGTCCTCACCGCGCGCCCTCTACACTGTCCTCACCGCCCGCCCTCTACACTGTCCTCACTGCCCGCCCGCCCTCTACAGTGTCCTCACTGCCCGCCCTCTACACTGTCCTCACCGCCCGCCCTCTACACTGTCCTCACTGCCCGCCCGCCCTCTACACTGTCCTCACTGCCCGCCCTCTACACTGTCCTCACCGCCCGCCCTCTACACTGTCCTCACTGCCCGCCCGCCCTCTACACTGTCCTCACTGCCCGCCCTCTACACTGTCCTCACCGCCCGCCCTCTACACTGTCCTCACTGCCCGCCCGCCCTCTACACTGTCCTCACTGCCCGCCCTCTACACTGTCCTCACCGCCCGCCCTCTACACTGTCCTCACCGCCCGCCCTCTACAGTGTCCTCACTGCCCGCCCGCCCGGGTCAGTGGGTGTATAGACCTATTGTACGTGGACAGTGGGTGTATAGACCTATTGTACGTGGACAGTGGGTGTATAGACCTATTGTACGTGGACAGTGGGTGTATAGACCTATTGTACGTGGACAGTGGGTGTATAGACCTATTGTACGTGGACGGTGGGGTGTATAGACCCAGCTAGTGTTCTAAAAAAGCGAGTGCTGAAGGTTTTCTCTAATTAAAAAACATATACATTTTACATCTTAAAAAAAACTATTATTCAAACAACTATATTTTTATCAAAATGACCCAACAGTACACAAAAGGTCGCCACCCCTCCTATACCCCCCTTACTATATGGCGTAACATTAGGCCTAAGGCAAGATAAACCATCCGTGTTTGTATGGGCCTATACACCCCCCCCCCATACAGGACTTGTATGGGGAGATTACCCCATCAGCCGTCAGGACCCGTCACTCACCAGTCAATCAATCACCCCTCACGGCGACCCGTCACTTAATTGGTCAAATGACATGTCGTTCAGAAGGAGCACAAGGTGTGGATCTGTATGTGTATTATTATAGTTTTGTGTATTTTGATTTTTTATGTATTCGTCGTTTATGAATTGTTTGAAAAAGAGAGAAAGAGAGACAGAGAGAGAGAGAGAGTCACACTCTCTCAACTGTATGTTCTCACACTCATACATACAGACACCACTGAATAAGAGTAGAAAAACTAGAGATATGATCACAATATACAAAATACTTAAAAAATCTACAAAGTTGACAGGAGGAAGACGATGAGTGGACACAGGTAACAAATAGTTACCCAAATGAGCAATAAAAGCTCACTCACAAAGAGCAAGTGACTGTGGGGTTGAGACAGCCTGAAACGACAAACCAGGATGAGAGTGTGACCCAAATTTAAGGACAACTAATTTCATAAACAAGTCGCTCAATTCACTCAACTCAGCAAGATTTCGAATTCCGTTCCAACCTCCTAAAATATACGAGCTAAGCACAGATTTGTTGACCAGACCACACACTAGAAGTTGAAGGGACGACGACGTTTCGGTCCGTCCTGGACCATTCTCAAGTCGATTGTGATAAGGAGGTAATGGTCCAGGACGGACCGAAACGTCGTCGTCCCTTCAACTTCTAGTGTGTGGTCTGGTCAACATACTTCAGCCACGTTATTGTGACTCATCGCCTGCATAAGCACAGATTAATATAACTAGCCAATAACTGTATCTTTAATTAGTCTCAAAGGTAATGCGGTTATAAGGCTGATTAATGGACTTGTATTAACACTAAGAATGATAAAGCAACAACAACTTAAAGTCTTGGACTGACACCAGTAACGTAGGTGAAGAATTCTGACAATATATATAACTCACATATTGATAGTCGACTTTTAAGACATTTCTCTCCAGAGGAAGTTGTGTTGGGGGATGTAAGTAATTATGGCAAGACAGCACAAAGTCGCGGAGACTATGTACCGTGTGGTGGTGATGGTGGGAGGTGAGGTCACCACACCTAGGCACTCACCCCACCTTCATCCCAAGTCTGAACACACATAAATCCCCCATTCCCCGCCTGGAATAATGCTCTCTCCTCATCTCCAACATATACGGCACATACAGACACGCCAAAACATTAAATTTACTGGAACGCTTTCAAAGTACTCATAATATGCTCTCAGGAATGGAGATATCACATGATATATACATGGAAGAAACTGGAAGAGCAAGTCCCAATATGTAAAAGAAAATAGCAACTTACTGGAGCGAAAGATAAGGAAGGACACACCGAACACACTCACTGAGGAGTAGAGGTGCCGTAGGGACAATGACGGAACACTGTACAGTTTTTAAGTCACACATCAGAGTTTTTAAGTCATACATCAGAGTTTTTAAGTCCCACATCAAAGTTTTTAAGTCATACATCAAAGTTTTTAAGTCACACATCAGAGTTTTTAAGTCATACATCAGAGTTTTTAAGTCACACATCAGAGTTTTTAAGTCACACATCAGAGTTTTTAAGTCATACATCAGAGTTTTTAAGTCCCACATCAAAGTTTTTAAGTCATACATCAAAGTTTTTAAGTCACACATCAGAGTTTTTAAGTCATACATCAGAGTTTTTAAGTCACACATCAGAGTTTTTAAGTCGTACATCAGAGTTTCTAAGTCACACATCAGAGTTCCTAAGTCATACATCAGAGTTTTTAAGTCATACATCAGAGTTTTTAAGTCACACATCAGAGTTTCTAAGTCACACATCAAAGTTTCTAAGTCACACATCAGAGTTTCTAAGTCACACACCAGAGTTCCTAAGTCACACATCAGAGTTCCTAAGTCACACATCAGAGTTTCTAAGTCACACATCAGAGTTTCTAAGTCACACATCAGAGTTCCTAAGTCACACATCAGAGTTTCTAAGTCACACATCAGAGTTTCTAAGTCACACATCAGAGTTTCTAAGTTTCTAAGAACAACTCTCGAAAACGAAAATTGGTAAACTACAGGTAAAACAAATTAAAATGTTAAACTGACTGGAAACTCACAACCCTTAAAGGAGAGAACATGATCACAATATACAAGATACCGAGGGATAGACAAGGTGGACAAACATAAGACTTTAATTTGAGAGAAAGTTGGGCAAGAAACCATATATATGTGTGGAAGCTGGAAATACATATGAGCTAAATAAATGTAAGGAAATTCTCGTACCCTGTACCCTTGGTCAACAAGAGGAATGCACTGAAGGAACAAGTTGGGAAAACCGCCTCTATCCACAACTTTAAAAGCCACATTCGACAAAGAATTCGAAAAGTCAAAAAAGTTAACACCGAGACTAGTTAGCGAGGCATGATGAGCTAAACCTCAGTGACAGGTAGATACAATCACAGACCCCCCTACCACCCCCGCTCTTAAAAACAATAGGTGCAGACAATGACAATACAATCACACCATCAACAATACTTGACGTTTGACCCTACGACCTGGACAAGGCGACAATCAGCCCGTCCTCATAAACTAAATGTTTGAGTGACAACACACCCACCATGAGGCGGGGCTCTAGAGCTACATCTCGCTCCCTCACACACAACGCCCCAGTCATCACCGTGACCTAGAAAACAACCCAATTTCCCGTGAACTTGACCTAACTCTACATTATCAACTATACCACGTCAGTAACACAAGAAAGACTGCCACTCCACACTACCCAAAAGGGAAATCGAACATATATTCATGTGATTCGAACGATCGTCTCCATTTATCAGAACCAAACACAATATAACAAGTCTTGCGCCTCTTAGCTATGAGTTAGTTGAATTAGCCAATTATGGACCCCGTACCCATCCTGTGGGGTTGTGGAGGAGGGGTTACAGGCCACATAATGGGTTCAGGAACTGTACCCCAAGTGTTGTTTAAGGTTACAGGCCACATAATGGGTTCAGGAACTGTACCCCACGTGTCGTTTAAAGTTACAGGCCACATAATGGGTTCAGGAACTGTACCCCAAGTGTTGTTTAAAGTTACAGGCCACATAATGGGTTCAGGAACTGTACCCCACGTGTTGTTTAAGCTTACAGGCCACATAATGGGTTCAGGAACTGTACCCCACGTGTTGTTTAAGCTAAGCAGTTTAACATTTGTGGTGATCTACTGTAATTACAGCTTTCATGTGACTCGAAAATTGTGAGCGAGTTACCCGCGCAGCTGTCATCCCAGATTCAATGTTCTGACATTTCTTGAACATCTGAGATAACACTTCTCTAAATGCCTTGATTTTTTGTACAGTCAGTTATGGTCACGTAAGTCTTTAAGTCTGATGACCTTACTGGCTGACTCACATGTGTGGCACCTCACATATAGTGTTATAGTGATATATGCACCATCTAGTGTAGACTTCACTCTCAAGTCAGTTCAATTTCGAGTCAATTCTCGGTATACTATTAGTACCCGTTATAAGGGGCTCAAAAGCAATCCACCTTACCTCGCGATGATTTCGGGGCTCAACGTCCCTGCGGCCCGGTCCTCGACCAGGGGTGGCAATCAACTTCCTCTTGAAGAGCGCGCGCTTTGGCTGACTTATCAGTCCTTGCGGGCATGTCCAGGCCAATATGGGCTGGGAGAGACGGCACACGCTACATTCATCATTGATGATCTAATTAAATGGGCGTCTTGGTGAGTCATATAAGACTGTGATCTTACCTTGTGTGTGGCGGCGTCTTGTGGGGCTCCGGGTCGTTCACATCCACACCGCCTCACTTGTTACCCGCCAATTTAGAGGTCACGTGACACATCAATTACAACGTGGGTGATATCTGTATGAAAATGAGAGAGAGAGAGAGAGAGAGAGAGAGAGAGAGAGAGAGAGAGAGAGAGAGAGAGAGAGAGAGAGAGAGAGAGAGAGAGAGAGAGAGAGAGAGAGAGAGACTGTGTGTATGTATGTATACGTATATATTGTGTGAATATATTATGTATATAAACAGTGCAATACGTCTGGAGAAAGCACGTATGAGGCACGGTGAGTATAAGGTATATCCAGAGGGTATCAGGAGGCAAGGGCTAGATATATGTAGCAACAAGGCGTACCGTCTCCAAATCACGCAAGAAAGTTATAACACGCAAGAGTCCCGGCAGCACAGCCCTCACAGGGAGGGTATACAAGAGAGCGCACCGAGTGGGCAGCCTCCAGGGTGGGAGGAGAGGAGCAAGAGGCGGAGATGTGCGCGCTGCGGCGGCCGTGGGCACTATGGTGACCCGCGCGGCAGGCGCCCCCGAGTACACCTCGGGTCGGTGGGGGCGTGCCAGGTGTCGCCACTATCCACGCCCACCAACCCCTCCACGCCCACCAACCTCTCTACACCCACCAACCCAACACCCACCAACCCAACACCCACCAAACCAACCCAACACCCACCCTATCCTGCTAGGCTACAGGGCTCCTGCCTCCCTTCCTATCCTTTTAAGGGTCAACCCTACTTCCCCTTAATTGCCAAGATTCCTATTATTCGTCATCTTCCCCCCCCCCCTATCATTCTCTTCCCTACTGTTATCTTTGTTACCTTAACCATCTGTGGCCCTTAACGTAATTTACCGCTGGAAATAAGCGAGACAGTAGGCTACACTCACACTTGCGCGCGGCACAATATTGCCCTAAGATTACCACCACTCGCTAAGCCTTAAGACCAACCACACACCCAACCTCTCGGGGTATGAGAAACTCTGGATTTAATTACAAATGTATTTATAAACCAACATTATAGCACACACACACACACACACACACACACACACACACACACACACACACACACACACACACACACACACACACACACACACACACACACACACAGGAATCTGTACATCAGTTGATTGACGGTTGAGAGGCGGGACCAAAGAGCCAGAGCTTAACCCCCCCGCAAGCACAACTAGGTGAATACACACAGTCTAAGAAAGTATCTAAATGCAAGACAAAAAACAAAAGAGCTTGAATGACGGCCAGAGAAGGCAGGAGAGCTGAGGACGAAACAGCTACAGCAAACCACAAAGGAACATGTGAGAATCATAAGGAGAAACAGGAGCCACAACATAGCAGCCAGGGCTAAGGAGCTCCGGAGCTACTGCACGACCACATCACGAGAGAAAAATGACTTGTGAACGATTAAGTAATGGTACCAGATCTGAGGGAGAAGAGACCAAAGTAAAAACTATGTGACAATATGTGAGATACTAAACCAAGGCTTGCAGGATGTGTTCAAGGTATAATGAGAACACCTCAGAGAACACGACACCCTTAAGGTTAGTCAGCGAGGATGTGACAACTCGTGAAGTAAGGAAGCGTCTTAAAGGACAAAAGTCTCCATATGGATGCTAGGAGCTGCAGCTAAAGTCTTAAACTTACAATGATTGTGGTGGGAGAACTACCAAACAGCCGGAAGACTGCTAATGCCATTATTATATATAAACATTCATATAGAGAATGAATTTTTTTGTCATAATACTTCAACACAGATTCTCAGAAGGGAAGTCATGTCTAACAAACCTGCTAGAGTTCTATGGTGAGATTTCAATGACCATACAGGAAAGAGAATGATGAGCAGACTGCATCTTCCAAGATGAAAAAGTGACGAGAGAGAGAATTACCAAGGGAAAGCGCCAAGCCATTACGACTATATAGCACTGGGAAGGAATCAGGATAAGGATTTGGGATGAGACAGGGGGAAGGAATGGTGCCCAACCACTTGGACGGTCGGGGATTGAACACCGACCTGCATAACGCGATACTGTCGCTCTACCGTCTAAAGTGTCTCGTCAAAAAATGACGAGACACTTTAGAAGGGAAGTGGTGAGGAAGCAATAGAGAGAGAGTGCAGGAGGATGAGAAGGCAAATAGTCATCAATAAAAAACCCTTTCACCCAAGTTCCACATTAACACATTAACAAGATAACATCAGCGGTGTAAGTAAAGCTGGAGAACATCCATGAAGACATCAGTTACTTGGACAGGGAAGCTTCCAGGGCATTGATAATTTACATGACTGGACGTGGCTCACCTGACGCCTCTATACTCAAGTTACAACCCAGGGAAGGCTTAAAGTTGCAGTTGGGCAGCAGTTAGGTGTTTCTGGAACCTTCCTTATTGTGGCTATCTACTAGCGTGGTCAATAGAGCTGCCGTCTCCCCCGGCTCTTGGGGTCGCTGGTTCGAGGCTCTTATGACCCAATTGGATGAAATAAATCCACGTTTACTATAGGTGACAATATATATATATATATATATATATATATATATATATATATATATATATATATATATATATATATATATATATGTAGTGTTAGAATGCGAAGCAGAGGTGTTCAGAAGATTAAGACAGCACGTGGCAGGGTCGAGAAGCTTGTACCTTTACAAATATTGTTTCAGAGGGCGGCCCCGCCCACACCAACCAACCTACCCACAAACACCCACCCCACCCCACCCACATTATCCCCCACCCTACGGCATCACCCACACCTCCACCCCTCTAGCCCTAGCTGTCACCATCACCCCGCCCTAACTACCTCCCCATCAATCATCCATTTCCCCACTCGCTGCTATCATTCTCCTCACCTATCCACCTCCAGCCTTACAGCCAACACCACCGACCATTTACAGTCCTGCCCACGACAATGGCCCCTCTCCTCCGGCTCTATCTAGCCCGCCAAAAATTAAAGCCTCCCCTATGATTAACGTTTTCTATGATTAACGTCTTCAATGATTAACGTCTTCTATGATTGACGTTTTCTATGATTAACGTTTTCTATGCATCGGCCTCGACAGGACAATTGAGTTGCTGGTGATCGTATGTTTGTGGTTAGGTAAAACAGTTGTATTTTTTTACGGAGTGGCTAAATGATAGAATAGGCTGCCTAAATCACGTTCTAGGCACGACTCAGTCCAGTCTTGCCTCTCCAATGGTATGGTGAACCACCTCACATGGTTTGTTACCTCAATTTCAGCCTTAGTGACTAATATATAAGTGGTGAATATATAACTGTTTTTCTAATCAGTTAGGCCTGTTGCCACTCATATATATATACACAGCTTCACGGTATCTCGTAACATTTGATTTTTCTTATTTTGATTTTCTTATTAAACATTTCAAAATTTCTAATTGTACATTTTGTATTTTCCGATATACTGATGATGATGATGTGAGATATATCGAGGGACGATTTGTGAGTGTTTCGAATAAATGTATTTTATCTTTAGCGTATATTAGGATGATTTAATATCTCAGTCACTACATCTTGATGAAAAACGTTCCAGTAGACTCCATATGGCCCTACACCGATCCATTACTTGGGCCATGGCCCTTCACGGGACTAAAACATGGACCATGGCCCTTAACGGGAACAAAACGTGGGCCATGGCCCTTTACGGGACTAAAACATGGGTCATGGCCCTTCACGGGACCAAAACATAGGCCACGGCCCTTCACGGGACCAAAAACATGGGCCACGGCCCTTCACGGGACCAAAAACATGGGCCACGGCCCTTCACGGGACCAAAAACATGGGCCACGGCCCTTCACGGGACCAAAAACATGGGCCACGGCCCTTCACGGGACCAAAAACATGGGCCACGGCCCTTCACGGGACCAAAAACATGGGTCATGGCCCTTCACGGGAACAAAACATAGGCCACGGCCCTTCACGGGACCAAAAACATGGGCCACGGCCCTTCACGGGACCAAAAACATGGGCCACGGCCCTTCGCGGGACCACGATAAAAATGTAAGTGATAAAACCTGACTTTACTGAGGGCCTTTCCGGAGATCCCGCGTCTACGCTGGAGAGTTATGGTCCCCCGGGTCGTGTTGCAATAATTTATGCCCCGCCTGAGTGCTAGCGAGACGCTGCCAGCTTATTTCGCACACTCCAAGGTCTAAAACATAATAATTACGCTCAACAACTTCCTGAAGACTTAATATAGGTCTAAAGAACAGTTGTAGTGGCTCTTGCTTGTCGTAAACTTCATTTACTTAAAGCAGGAAGGCTTAACGGTTCAAACTGAAGCCTACTGAAGCCTATCTGAGCACACGGAAGCCAAGACTGTTTATATATTTTAAACTACAAGCCATATCCTAACGCTCGTGATCTGCAACTTTCACACTTACGGCAGATATGCTAAAGGCTACAGTTGTTAGGCTCCTTTTTACAAACACCTTCAGAAATGCAATGTTACTAAGCTTATGTAAAAGAACAGGTGTTAGGAAAATGTTCCCCTTCTCACGAAAAAAAAGTTTTAACTGTAAATATGATAGGGAAATAGTTACTGCATTGAACTACTGATTGTCGAAAGAGCAGATGCTCGACCTAGCAAGCACAACTAGGTGAGTACACACACACACACACACACACACACACACACACACACACACACACACACACACACACACACACACACACACACACACACTCTCGATAGAGAAGAGGCACTTAACTACAGACCAGTGTCGCTCACAAGCATCACTTGCTTGTGACCAAAACTTGTGTAAGGAATCATACGGAACCTTATTTACCACATGTGTCAGACTAATTTTGGTGTATGGACTCCAGCCTGGAGTCCATACCTAGTTAAACACAAGACAAAGTTAGAGAATATTCAGATCTTTGCCACCACAGACTAGTCCCAGAGCTGAGTGGTATGAGTTACGAGGAAAGGCTACTGGAAATAAAAATCACGTCCCTGGAAGACAGACTAGATAGGGAAGACATGATCTTCACCTAAAAAATTCTCAGAGGAACTGACAGGGTGGACAAAGACAAACTATTGAGCATGAGTGGATCACTAACATGGGGACACATGAAAACACAGTAATCAAATGAGCCAGAGACATTAGAAAGTAAATTTTCGTTTCAGTAGTTAACAAATGGAATGTACTAGGAAGTGATGTGGTAGAGGCGATTCCATACACAGTTTCAAATGTAGATATGATAGAGCCCAGTAGGCTGTATACAAGTTGATTGACAGTTGAGAGGACGGACGAAAGAGCCAAAGCTCAAGCCCCGCAAGTACAACTAGGTGGGTACACACATTTCATATATACTTTTAAAGTAACTAAGAACCTTTAAAAATTAAATTTGAATTGTATAGCTTAACAAAATTGTCTCTTAAAGAACTTTTATACATTTTGGATTGGCAGGGTGGAGCCGTGGGCGGGGAGGGGCGGGTCCCGCACCCACCCAGCCTTGCCAACGGTCTAATTGTCTGGAA